CTTTATCTTAATAAAGATCTTAGTAATAGTATGGGATTATTTTTACAGAAAACTAATATTATTCGAGATTATCTTGAACATCTTCAAGCTGGAAGAACATAGTGGCCAAAAGAAATTTGGATAAATTATGCATCAGATCTTTCTCAATTTCATAAAGATCCACATGGACAACAAAATCTTGAATGTCTAAATCATATGGTTGTGAATTCATTTTCTCATTTATCTGATGTTATCCAATATCTTCGTCTTATAAAACATCCAAAAAATTTTGAATTTTGTGCAATACCACAATTAATGGCTATCGCAACACTTGTTCAATTATATAATAACCCATTAGTATTTACATATGTTGTTAGAATACGAAAAGGACTTGCATGTGAATTAATGTTAAATTGTTCAGATATAAAACAAGTTGAATATTATTTTTGTTTATTTATTAGCAAGATTGAAAAGAAAATTCCAAAATATTCTAATATTAATAATAAACATATGCAAGAATTAATTAATAATATCAAACAATTATTTAATTAATCATGATTATTCCAATATTTTATCAATGAGTACATTTGTTGAATTATTTCTTCTTACAAAAACAGTTTTTTTTATCTTTTATAATTTTCTATTCAATTTTTTTCTGTTTTACATTAAATATATATATTAATATTGTCAATAAATCGAGAGTTTAATAATTGAGGGTGTGAGTATGATATAAATATAACACACGCACCCACATCCTAGACTCTTATAGGTCCTATCAGTTCCTGATGGCTTCCAGAGACCACTTTTTCCCTCTTTGGAACTGCTAGGAAATGTCTGGAATCATCAGTAACTATAAGAAATCATTAAGAACTGCGAAGATGTACGGGATCCGAGGAAACAGGAACCGCTTTTTTTCCCGTGTACCAACGGCCTGTGAAATGGTTTGCTTCTCTTCGTATGGGAGTGCGAATAATTTTTTTCAAGAAGGAGAATGTAAGAATTAGAACATGAAGAATAGTTCTACCAACGAGAATGCAGGAATGACGATAGATAAGTTTTTTTCCGGGAAAAATTGTGAGGATGAGAATAAGTAAGGTTTTTTTGTGGAATGAGAATGCAAGAATGAGTGAGAATAAATTTCTCCAACAAGGAAAATGTAATTATGGTAATGAACAGGTTTTTTCCGGGAAAGAAGTGTAACAACACAAACAAAAAGCAATTTTTTCCGGGAAAAAAGTGTAACAATTCAGGGAAAAAATGGTTCCTGGTTCCTCGGATCTTCGCAGTTCCTCGTGGTACCTAGAAACCGCTTTTCTCCCCTTGAAGAATATTAGTCCATGAATCCTTATACGCACTCACATCCGCACCCACACCCTCACTCTTACTCTCACTCACACGCTCGCCCTTACCCTTACCCAAACCCACCCACTCACATCCTTCATGTTCAAATGATCGTTCATCAAATAATGATATATTACTAACACATTTTGATATTTTCCAGTCGCTGAAAAATAGTTAACGCAAGAAAATAATAGAATTTGAAAAAGGTTGAATATATATTGGATATCTTCATCTGACGGTAAATGAATTTGATTTCCAACATCAGTAGATGAGCAAATACCTTAGAGCTTTATTCATAAATCTTTTTGTCATGAAATAATGATTTAGTCCACCTTCGCCGAAAAATTTTTTCGCCGAAGATGAATTTCGCCGAAAACTATTTTTCTCCGAAGGAAGTTCGCCGAAAAATGAAATTTACCGAATTGATCTTACAAGCAACAATTGTTTATTGGATAATAAGTCTATGATACTAAATCAACTGATCTTCAAGTGGGCGGCATTCCAAGTCAGATGTATCCCGTGTCATTTGGTTGCCATCTCAGATGGTTACCAACTGACTTGGCTACCATCTGAGTTGGCTACCAACTGACTTGGCTACCAACTCAGTTGACTGTCAATTGACATGGTTACCAACTCAGATGGCTACCAACTGACATGGTTACTAACTGACTTGGCTACCAACTCATATGGTTACTAACTGATATGGTTACCAACTCAGATGGATGAGGGTGGGTGTGGGTGTGAGATGATAGACACCCAGACCCTCACCCACATCCACCACGCCCAAATCCTCACCCACATTCACACCTAGACCCTCACCCACATTCACACCCAGACCTTCACCCACATCCACATCCATCCATATGAGTTGGTAACCATGTCAATTGGTAACCATGCCAGTTGGTAACCATGTCAGTTGGTAGCCAACTCAGATGGTAACCAAGTCAGTTGGTAACCAACTCAGATGGTAACCAAGTCAGTTGGTAGCCGTCTAGCTTGGAGGTCGTTCCACTTGGAGATCAACTGATTTGGTACCATAGACTAATTATCCAAAACACAATTGTTACCTATGAGACCAATTATATGCAGTTTGTATGGTCGTTCGGTGAGAGATTCATTCGGCAAATTTCTTTCGGCGAAATTCATCATCGGCGAAAAAAATTTTCGGCGAAAGGGGAATTTACCGAAATAATCAGTTGTTGAAGAAACGAAGCAATTCATTTATCATAATCATATTGAGGGTGTGGGCTCTGCTATGGATCCGGTTAATATATGAACATAGCATTCACACTCAGACCCCACACTCACACTTTCATTATAGGTATTATTTCATTGACAACATCACCATATTTATTTGTGTACCATTCACTAGGAATTCTTTTAGTTAAACTAGATATTGTGTCACTGATATAAAAACTAACTAGTATTTCATATCTTTTTCTTCACTAATTTCACACAGATTCTCGTTTGTGGATGATTGATATTGCTTTGAAATATTAGTTAATTCTATTTACATCTCTTTATTAGATTTAGATTAACCTTTACCAGAAAATTCTATGATTATTCTACATATGATATTTCATCAATGTCATAATTTTTCGTTCTTTTGATTTCCTCACATTGTTCTACTCTACTGATTTTTAGTCAGTATTTAACTTTATCCACAAAATAAAAGAATAATTGAGATTAAGATAAATGTGGTGTATTTTTAGAATGATGAGTAAGTGATTGATAATAAGCATTTATATAATATATTGAAAGCATTAAGCGCAAAATAAGGAAATCAAGCAATACAAAAAGTCCGAATCAAGATCTCTCCCTCATGTGCATGTATTGAGAAAAATATTCACACGGTTCTTTGAATTATTATCGCAAACAGCAAGATCTAGTCGGCCATCGTTATTGAAATCAGCGACAGCGATTCCATACGGAAAAGAACCATTTCCAGTTGCAATTGTGGCTTGTAATACAAAAGATCCATTACCAGACCCAAGAAGCACACCAACGTTGCGTATCGCGGAGAAAGGGTTAGAGACGGCAAGATCTTTTAAACCATCACCATTGAAATCACCGATAGCTACCCACACCACCTCAAGCTTAGACCCAACGGAAAACATAGTTTGTAATCCAAAAGATCCATTACCTTTTCCAAGAAGTACACCCACATTGGGCAGCGAGGGTGAGCCGTTACCGACGACCAGATCTACTCGAGCATCGCCATTAAAATCACCAGTAGCGATGCTCCACGGTGTAGAATTAATTGAAAGCGTTATTTGTAATTGAAAAGTCCCACTACCGGTTCCAAGTAGCACACTTATGGTGGGCCAGTACTGGCTGGTAACGACAAGATCCAGGTAAGAATCACCGTTGAAATCATCGATTGCAACGAAGGTCGGATTACCGATAGTGGGGTATGTTGTTTGTGGTCCGAAATATCCATTGTCAATCCCAAGAAACACACCCACATTGCTCGAGTAAAAGTTGGCAACAACAAAATCTAATCGACCATCATTATTCAAGTCTCCGGCAGCGATCCGGTACGGATAAGAACCAGTTGAATAAATTGTTTGTGGTCCAAAACTTCCACTACCAGTTCCAAGTAACACACTCATGGTGTTATCACCATTGTTGACAACAACAAGATCTAATCGGCCATCGCCATTGAAATCACCAACAGCCATCGAGAATGGGGTAGGACCAGTTGGAAATGTTGTTTGTGACCCAAAACGCCCACTCCCGACTCCAAGGAGCACGCTCACGGTGTTTCCACCATTATTGAGAACGGCAAGATCTAGTATTCCATCGCCATTGAAATCACCAATGGCAACCATCCTAGGACTGGCTCCAACTGCATATGGAACTGCTGTTGTGAAGGTCAAATTTGTACACGATACGGCTAATAGAAGAAATCAATAGAATAAAGATTAAACAAAAAACATTTCCTTCAGTCTCTCAAGTCATCAACATGTACTGATGATATATACGAATTCTGAGTCTATCGTGCATTAATGGTTCTATTTTTAAAAACAATTAATTATTTTTTATCAATGCGACTTATAATAAAGTATGTTTTTAAATCATTCGTTACCATTCAAAGAACTCTAAAGTTATCTCTTGAGGGTGTGGGTGCGGTGTAAAAGTGATATCTATATTTATGTTCGCGAGAGATAGTAGGTGAGGCGTCTCATTTTAAAAGTCATGATGAAAAATCCATGAGATCTGACTTTCACTGTATCAAAACATCATGTGAAAAAACAGTTAGATAGTCTTGATATACGAACCTGCTGGAGTGGAAACTGTTACTGGCGAAAATATCGTGCTAATTGTCGCATTGATTGTTGTATTTGCAACTGTACTTGTAGTCGTGCTTCTGCTAGTAGTAGTTATCTTAGTGGTGGAGATATTTGTGGTGGCACTAGTTGTTGTGGTTGTGCTTGTCGAAGGAACTAAGAGACAACATATGTATGACAAAGATGCGATATAATATATTCAAGATCATTTAGGTGTTAAGAATATGATCAACAACAGAAATTCTCAAATGTTTCCAAATTGTATAGAATGGTATCAGTTTTTCGAGTGATTTACGATCTTTTATTATTTTTTTTTATTATCGGACTTAGAAAAGCTGATCTAATCAACTTTTGCACCCAGAATCTAACTCGGTTTCGCCTCTTATTTCTAGACTCGTTGCTCTGAGAAGAACCGTAAATGAACTTGAATATCAGAAAAGTAATAATAAAGAAGATCTCACCTGTTAGCAGAGGTTGATGCTCTTCTTGTTTGTGTCGAGTAAGATAAACAGATGGAATAATGATGACGGCTGTCACAATTATACATAGTATAAACCCAACGATGATCTTTCGGTAACGTAGTATTGATGTGAGGAAACTTGTTCTAAGAAAAACAACTCTGAACTATGAATGAAATCAAAAGAATAGAGACATACGAAATAGATGGATCTGTGGGCACCGATCCTAAAGCAACAGCATCTCTGGAAACATTTGTTGAGGCCAGAGTGTTTGAACTGATATCTGAATTTCGGCTGGATTTGATGAAAAGACGTTCGGCATGGTTGGTGTTGTCAACCGATATCGTGTTACTATCCAAAGAAGTCGCTGGAATCTAAATGATAGACATAAGTTATATTATGTCGATAAGTATTGAAAATAGAGTTATTCGTGTATCTCTCTGAACTCAGTAGTCTTCCATCTACGTTCTTCCCTCTGTACATGTAAACAACTTTATAAGTATTCATTTACCTGTTGAATTCCAACATGTGCTCGTTGCTTGTATTTTCTGACTAATTTGTAAGTTGAAAAGACAAGAAAGGGTACGACAAGTTTGAGAAAAGTTGTTAGTCCACCATAAAGACCCAGAATCGTGGTGATAACAATGATGAAACTGCCTGTTTCGAGTACTGTCACTGAACAATAATCAGGATTACACTCTTCGAAAAATTGATTATACGAGACATTTGATGAACACGTTTCGACAAACATTTTTTCAACAATAGAATTAACGGTATCATTTGAAGAAAAACGAGTTTCGCTCTTGTTCAATGGTACAAAATGGTTGGGTAAAGACATATTCAAATAGGTAGTAAGAAGATCAATGCAAGACTGTTTGTAGAGACATTCGAGTGTACTTTGAAGGAGTGATTCAAGTGGAGTACAACCAACCAGATACCCTTTGATGTAAGGTGTCGACGATTGAGTACATGTCGACAATGTGGCACAATTACACATACCACTGCCATAATATTGTGATTTGAGAAAAAGCATACTACCCACTTTAATGTTGTTGGTAATATAATACCAGTTTGTCGAATAGGCTGAGACGAATCCGTTACCTTGCATTAGACCACGTATCATTTGAAGCGAATTTAGAAATGAATTCGGTAGTGTCGATTGAAATTTGATGAGTGATGCATTTGTCTCTTTCTCGAGCAGATCGAAGTCAATCATGAGGGTGGAGATGATCGAGGAAATAAGATATTGTTGTTGAGCATCATTGACAGAATCTTTTACCAAATTACACAAGGCAGCAAGAGCTTGGAAATGACTGAATACTGTGCCTTGAAGAGTAAATGCGTTGGATGTTGCATATGTCGAATCCAAATCATTGTATAATTGAAACAATTCTTGTAGATATGAGTCAGAGACGAAAAGACTCGTACAGACTGGATGAAAGCTGCATTGCAATGTGATAAATGATGAATGCGTAATAGACAATCGAGAACATGGACAACTAACTGCATCTAATCCGTAACGTTGTTGTAACTGCTGATATTGTTCAAGGGATGGGTTTGTTATTGTGAACGTATTCAAATAATAGATCACCGAAGTATAGAGAACGACAATGAATAATGAGATGACGAGAAGAACTAAATAGACACGTGTCGCTACACATTGTTGTTCAATAGTAATTGTACGATTTGTATCTTCAAATACATTCACTTTCTTAAACCAATCTCGAATCTTAATACCCAATGTCACAAAATGTGATGTGCGAGCAGCTAAAATTTATTTCATTAAACATGATCAAGATTCAAATAAAAAATGTTCTTACTCGATTCTACAGGTGCCTGTTGATGTCGTGATAACAGGCGTCGAATGATTCCAACACATATCATGACAAGAAACGGGACAAGAATGCGCAGAGAGACAGACAGTCCACCGATCAGACCAACAATTCTTGTTATTGTTTCGAGTAAACTGTTGCGTTGTGGAATCGTATAAGAACATGACGATGGTTGGCATTGGGCAAAATAGGATGAATAATTTGTAGATTCAGACCAAGATTCAATAAACATTTCTGAAAGTAGAGAACCAATTGTGCTATTTATCATGAAACGACTTGCATGAGAAGAAGAATTGAGTCGAGTAAAGTTGTTAAAGGATGATACATTATAAAAGTTGATAATAATGTCTAAACAGTCTTGATCATCATAGAAACATTTAAGTGTTGATTGTAGAAGTGATTCAACAGATTGGCACGCAAAATAGAACTCAGGTATAGAATATACTTGAATATCTGCATTCATTACACTCCCAATGAATAAGCCCCAATTCATTTTACAGCTTGAATCATATGCACACGAACATATTTCGGATGAATTTTCATAGTTGTAAGTCGTTATAGACAAAGGGGCAGTATATTTAGGTGGGTCGCCAATTTCAATATAAGAATTGCTACCTGCGGCAGACACAATTTGGTTCACATGTGTAATATTACGCAGAAGTTGAAGGAAGTGTAAAAAGGTGTTTTTTGTTTCCAGTTCAAACGTATTAATAGCAGAGGACATTTGATTAGTAAACTCAGCCGCTGTAAGCAATTGAGTACCGACTAATTGGGTTTGTTCAAACGTCTGTATTGAATTGGCAATTGTTTCAGTAGAAAAATCGCACAGAGTTCCCAGGAGCACAAATAGCGTCTGAGCCTGCGAAAAATCACTACTGTTGACGGCTACCGCAAATCGGAGCGATAAAAGAGCGCGCATATCATCGAAAGCATCTATCCAACGCTCTGATACGAAATCACTGGAGCATACTTGATGATAGAATGGCTGGAGATGAATGAATTGACCATAGGCTACCGTTAATTGTGTACACGGACATTGTAGAGAAGAAATTAAGTTAGTCTGAGACTGAGATTGTAATTGTTGCACAGTACTGAATAAAGGGTTGTTCAGTTGTATCAATTTTATGTCGAAGCTCAGCATTCCGTAAAGTGTCAAAATAATAAGAGCAAGAATGAGTAGTGTAATATAGATTCGTGTTGTCCACAGTTGTTGCCTGATATCCGATGGTTGTTGTCGAAGTGATGATTTGAACAGATTGAGATCAATAAGAGAATTCCATATAAGTTTTGCCAGTGTCTGTACGCGTTGTTTCCATGTCTGCGTTGTTGTCACTAAATAAATAGAAAGTTTTACTCATATAACCTCAATTGAAACTTACCGATATCGACAGAAGAATGTTGAGCCGATGCTTTAGTCAAATAGCGAACCAAGAAGCCAACCACGTGTGGAATGAGTACTCGAAGAACAGCCGAAAGACCTCCGTATAAGCCAAGAAGAGCAGTAAACATGTATAAAAAGCTCGAGTGTTGATTGATTGAGTAGAAACACGATCTTGGACGACATTGAGCAAAATAAAGTGAATAGTTGAGTGCTGTCGAGATATTCTCTATGAATAAAGTTTCAAGAATATCATTGAACGTGCCAGTTTGATTTGTGGCTTTCTGTATGTTCAGAGCGATAGGTGTTGAATTTGACGACCAGTTGAAATATGTTGCTATGGCATCGAGTTCACTTTGATTATTCAAAAAACTGTTGTCGAGTGACGAAAGAAGCAGTGATTCCAAGGGCCAACAACCGGCGAACCAGTTTGCTACTGGAAGAGATGTTATAGACGGTGCCCAAGGAAAATAGATGCTGATGTCGGTTTCCGTAGAATTGTAGAAAGCAGACAATTTATGACAGGTGGCAGATACAGAGCACTGGCAACTGGCAATGGTTCCGTGTCCCGTAAATGTAGTTGTGCTCTGGGCTCCATACCAGGTTAGCCCATCTTCTGAGTAAAGAACTGCCATGTAAGCGGTTTGAATTCCAGACATGAATTTATTCCCCAACACGTACATGCGTACAAAGGAAAGAGAACGAAGAAAATTTGTGACACTATTCATTCGAAAGGCTATAGTGTTTGATACCATTTCTGCTTCTAATAAATTCTCACTTAATAAATAGGCTGAGATAATTTCATCATCGTAGAATGCTTGAAGATCATTATTCATAGCCGTTTCTGAGAACTCGCAGAGTTCTCGCAAAATTTGAAATTGTTGGCTAGCTGTTGCACGGAAATCTATCACAACGCGTGTGGAGGTTTTATTATCGAAGAGCATATCAATCCATATTTGTGAAACGAAAGCACTAGAACATATCTCATGATACATTGGAATTATTTGGGCAAATGAACGATAAGAAACAGATATTTCAGTGCATGGGCATTTGACGTTCGTGTTATAGGCATTTTCCAGTTCCAGATATGTTTCGAGAGATGGATTTCTCACTTCGATTTGTTGTGTATTGATAGCTGACGCATCATAAATGAGGAGAATGGACATCGCGGAGAGAAGAAGGGCAATGTAAACACGCGTTGACCATCGTTGAATGCTGATCGTCCGCTCATCAGTCAAATCCGTTTCGAAAAGATTCAACTCCATAAAGAATCGTCGCAGACGATGGTGACGACGTAAGTTATCTCTTCTTTGCATCTCACGTTTCTACAATTGAACTGTCAATGAAATGTATTCTTAATAAGGCATGGCATATGTTTAACGTACAGTGATTTCTCAAGCAGAATGGTTAACACTTAATTTTTTCCTAACATACTTATTTCTAATCTATGAGATTCAAGAGTAACAGTATATAAGCTCAAGCTTACGAATTCAGTTGAAATGATCGAAAGAACGGTCGACATAATTCATTTAATCCTTTCACTTCCCTGGTATAAAAAAAGCTACACCTGTTTTTTTAATATTTCTCATAATTTAATTCATAAAAATTAGTACATAATCTTTTGAAAGGAAGTAATAGAGAGTGTTCTAGGATCTTTTTGAAGTACCTGTGCCATATACGCCGCCTCACATCTTCTATTTCGCTCTTCTCTTGCTCTGGATATTATAATTCAAATGACAGCGAAGAGCAAATCTTTATCAACTCCATTATTAGCACATATGCCTGTTGCTGAACCTAAAGAAATGTGTGGATATTGCAGTACTAAAGCTCGTCCGACATTTAGTAACATAAAATGCAGTTTTTGTGATATTTCTTTATGTTTGAAACAGCATAAAAATTGTTTTTTGTTATTTCATGAAAACACTGTATAAGTTTTGCAATTAATAAACTTCAACAGCTAAAACTACCGTTCAGCCTACTAGAGTTCAATGTAACTGATATTGCGTAAATCGACCAATCACCTGTGGGAACACATGAGATATGTCTAACATATACTCTTATGTCTAGAAGAAGCTAATTCAACGATTTACTTGAATTAAATCCAACGAAAAATAATGCGGAAGCGAAAGGGTCAACATGAACTGACCGAGTACTGAGAGAGACCTTAAGTATTCGCATAGAATAAGAATCTAGAGACTCGGAGTTGGCATGGGTGGGTACCTTCTCTCAGTCAACACCCGGACAATTACCCACATCCTCAATGATTCGAAATGCCAGATTATCAATGATTATCGGACAATTTTTACTCAAATCCTGTTAGCCAAATTGACGATACAACTAAAGGACGATTTTCTGTGTCATAACTTTTCACTGGTTCTACAACGGTAACTATTTCTTATAAACCCTCCAATTCAGAATTCAATTGATTCAGATAAGATTCTCAACAAAATGAAAGAGAAAGGTGAGAAAACACGTTTTTTACCCTAAACACTCTAGGTTGAGATGCTCGAGTGAGATTCAGAAAATAAACGTCGTATAGATTTATTGAATGGATAACACGAAATCAACGAGCAGAAAACACGTGATATGAAAGCTGCAACAAAAGTCTGAGAAGAGAAGCTCATGGCCAAAGAACAAGCAATCTACTAAATCCAAAACAAAATGAAAAATCCAGAGTCTAAATTTTTTAATAATTAAAAAGACATACATGTCCTCTCTGAAACCATCCTGACATTATTCATCTTCTTACGAGCGAACAGGATACTATCTATTTCAGATAATTATTATGCTATGTCCGTCGATAAAATAAAAAGAATCTGATATCAACTTCATACATCTAAACTGATTTTCGATTTTATGCACTCTATTCATGAGATCCTTTTCTTCTTTGTTGCCAACTCTTTCTTTTCTTTTTCCTAAATAGGTTTTAATCTTTTTCTGCTGAATTGATTATCACTTTAGGACCACTAGAAGTCATAGGTAGGCAAGTACCACAACGCATCCACACCCAAATTTCAAATGAATCTAGGTTTGAACTTACAATTGACCGTGGCTTAGACATTGAAACATTCAATATCTAATTCTCACTCAAACTCATATTCATACTCACAGCCACGCACACTAGACATGCAATGGTGGCCGTGGCCACGAATTTACCGTTCATCGGTGTCACCGCTCAACGGTAGAAGTATTAAAAATCCACGATGATGCTCGACTTTCTTCAATATTCAGACGATTTTATATTAAAAGAGTCCAATGTTATTAACGCCTCAGCGTACCGTACCTACAATGCTAACCGGTTTCCTTCGTAAGTCAGACACTTTTATGCTAACAGACCTCTATGGTGTTCATACAACGGTTAGCAACGTAGGTTACCGATGATTTCACCAATACGACCGTGGACCTTACGTAAGGTCTGCCGGTGCGTTTATGATACCAGGCTCTATTAATATAAAAGCCTGATAATCATGAAGAGAATAGGCTATCATCGTAAATCTTTAATAAAACCACTAGCCCACCGGTAAGCGATGCATCGTCATATTATCGTGCCTAACACACACCGTCAAACTAAAACCCTGGGTTCAAACCGAAAACCGAAAATCAAACTCAAGCGCAACTAAAGATCTGCGTTGCCAGTTAAGTGATCTCTGATATCACTGGCACTGCCATACACTGGCGTAGTAACGAAGTCGGTACACTGACGTTTATTAATATACATATATCTGACATATCCCTAAAAGTTAGAGCACCAAGCTCATCAGCGCTTCTCTCATACCAACATCAGTCATTACAGAGCTACTTTTCACAGTAATTGCACCAACACTATAAATCCCAAAGCCCAACCTCAACACTCAATCTCTAACCAAATATTCAAATGCTCGGCTGAAGCTACCACCCAGACTCTTACCAATTCTTCAAACACTCGACTGAAGCCATCACCCAAACTCTTGCTTAATACTCAAACTCTCAGCTAAAACCATCACCTAAACTCTTGCTGAATAGTCAAACGCTCGGTCGAAGCCATCACCCTCAACTGTTACTGAATAGTCAAACCCTCAACTGAATCCCGCACCAACACCCAGCAGTTAAATTGTAATTGAATAGTCAAACCCTCAACTCAACTTCACACCCAGACTTTAACTGAATACGGAAACCCTCAGTTTAACTCAACAGCGAAACTCTGACTAGATACTAGAACTCTCAGGTGAATGCAGCATCAAAACTCTAACTACATACTCAGATTCTCTTCTAAGTCTAACGCGAAGGCTACAACTGAGTACTTAAATCCTCAGCTATACTCAACATGCAATATTATCAGTCAAAATGTGACTGAACACTCAAACCCTCGGCTAAACCCAACACCTTAATTTAATACGCAAAAAGCTAAGCAGTTTGAATTTGTTACATGTCTAGTCATAAGGCTAAATACTATAATAGATGCATAAATATTCTATGACAACTATGCACCATGTCTAAATCTGTACAGTTTTTTGCTGAGTCAGCATAAGTTTTTCTTTCTGCCTATGTTGATACGAACACTTACCTTAGAGACAATAGGAAACAAGAAAACTGATGTAACACAATTTGCGAGCAAAAGAATGTAAAAATGTAGTGTTGTTACTTCTAATTACCTTTTTCACTTGTATCGACTAACACAAATTCTCACTCAGAACTCAGTATTATAAACTGCTGGAAAAAGAGAAAAAGAGAGTAAAGGAAAATAAAATTCATCCGCTGCTGCAGAAGGTGAATATCCAATAGAGAATTGCATTTCGGTGAGTAACATATGTGGAAGACATAGTGAAAGTCAATAGCAACCGGAGAGAAGAAAAGATGGATAGAAATGACTGAGTTTAGAATGGAAATAATTAATATAATGCAGCAGAAAATGTGCTTTATTCTTTGTATTGAAAACAGAAGAATAAAATTAAATGGAATCTTGGACCTTCTTTCTGCATGTTAATTGTTGTCACCCTCAGCTTAAATCTCTGATTGTGACGATATAATTTAATTTTTGAATATAAACAACTAAATATCCGTCAATTCGAATGTCATATAGATTCCCCCTAATAACGTCGAAAATAAAAATGCTGAAAATAAAAATATCGAAAAAAGAACTTGGTAGGTAGCGCCATTTTTTCGACGTTATTAGGGTAAACCGTCATATAGTCATAATAATCGAGTTCTACATCTTTACGTGTCAAATACATACAGAATATATGTACATGAGTTTCCAATGGAAACAGACAGGATTCAAATGGCAAAGACCGTTTTTGGTCAGGAATATGATGATATGTAGTCATTAAGTTTTAAAAAAGCACGATTTATGCATAGTTTGATCCGTCTTTTGTCAAATTATGTATTACGTTGTTAACGGCATTCGCGAACGATGAAGAGTACCAATTTCTATCTTTAGTTTCACATTACACTAATGTTGTTGTAAATATTTATTTACAAATATAAGTTTTTTTTCTTTTTCTGCCAATAAATTAGATAAGTCTAAGAATCATAGGACTAAAAGATTGCACTGTTTCTCATTTGAGATGATGTTTGTGAAAATATATTAGACATACGTATGCTTCACAATTAATTAGATGGATAGAATATTTCTTTTTTTTCTTTTGTTGCCTAGCTGAAAGGTTGTCTTGTCGTTTGAAATAATGTTCATCAAAATGAGTAAAAGCTCTACGTATTCTTTGTAATTAGCTATATTGGTAGAAATGTTTTTCTCTCTTCTCCAGCTCCAAATTTGTTTATCATGTATAATAATGTTGGTGAAAGTAAATTGAATCTACATATTCTCCCTAATTAAATATATAGATTGAAATTTAGTGTTGGTATAAAAATATCTTTAAAATCTCTGCTACAGTCGTTCGTTTTCTTTTATTCTTATCATCAATGTTTTCGATATTATATCAGATACATTGTTTACGAACTTATATTTAAAAATTGTTTAATCAATACATGATAGTTTATTATGTTTTACGAAAGCAGATGATTTTTCTCGATCAAAATAATGATTATGATGTATTGAAATAGGTATTTATGTTCACATCAACTGTAATCAAAACTATTAATTATATCCTAATTGTCTCAAATTAACGTTTTTCTTTTTGTTGGTATTTGTTGACGAACTTTGTTTGTCGTTGTTTTAATCAAAAAAAGTTATTTCATTCTTTTCTTTTTTTCCATACTATTTTCTAACTTTTAATTACATCAAATGGTTCTCTTTAGGAAGGAAAATGGCATAACTGGTTACCGAAAGCTTTCTCAAACAATTTACTTCATTTTTTTTTAATTTCTCATATTAACTATCTAGATATTTGTTTATATAGAAGTAGTGGATGTATTCTTAATGCCTTAACAATAAAAAGCGGAAAGATGATATTAACTGAAAACTAAATATAAATCAGAAAACATTTTTAGTCAAATCAATGGAACTGCCTTTTTATTTAAATCATTCGAAAGGTTAATTTTCTTCGATATGTGCTTCATATTACTTGAATTTACTCAACACATTTTGTCGTAAAAATACGCCTCAGTTATTATCCATCAGTCATCACTTAAAAAAAGAAAAGAAGCTGTTCTTCACTTTTTCTTAAGTTAATAAAGAAAATGTCGATGAAAATTTTTGTTGATAAATTAGAAACTATGACTCTTCAAAAATGTTGATTAAAATACGTTTCTTCTTTTACAATTGTTATTTCTATGGAGAATAACGTATTTAAGAAAATAATTTATTTTCAATCCTTTTTTTCAATAGAATAAAGTCAAATACGAAAATCTTTATGAATGTTTCGATTTCCCCAATGGCTTGTCAGAAACTCTCTTGAATATTTCAGTATATTCACATCATTCTATTACAGTGAGAGAAATGATTATTTCTTGTTCATATATTATTTCTATATGAAAATAAAATATAAAAGATAAGTTTATTATTTGATTATAAAGAACATCGTACAATAAGATCGTCAATTTACTATCTCTCCGCTTTGGTTTTAAATACTATATAAAAACAGACCTTGAAATTCTGTACCTTCTCATAAATCGAGGGTGGGTGTGGGTGTATCCTGTTTATCTCATACACAGACACTCAGATCCACGTAATTTGTTTAAATTCTGTTGAATATAGACTGCGACATCGTACATTTTAAGATTGAGTTTTTTTGGCTAACACCAACAAGATTTTCATTGTTGCTTGTTGCTTCTTGCTTAATTTGTACGGAAATCCGTTCTTGGCTTGCAGTCGCTTGGTAGACAGTGTTCGAAGAGTTTTTGATGTCAAAAATACTTCATCGTTGAATACTCTCTATGTAAAAGTTTTTAAAATATCGACTTTTCTCATTCGTCCAAGTACAGCATAAACATACCTTCGAAGGTCAACTTGGCTTTTCACATAGGAATCCATCGTCGCAAAATATAGAGCTTTGGTTTGTAACATGAAAATATTACGAACGAAGTATCATCTATTTAATATAGGATCGATGCTGAAATTTGTAGAATAACTATGATTAATCTTGTCGTCAATAATAAGGAGAAATGTAAATATTGCTTAAGATGACAGATTAGATACTCTCACTTAACTCACACATTCATTAGTTATTATTATAGACATTTCTGAATTCAACATTTTTTATTCGAAAAAATTATATTCTACGATAATTAATAAAACTCGAAATGACTTTTGCAATCATATTCAAACTCATTCAATCTTTATTTAAAAAGAAAATGTATTTTGCATTAAGATAACAAATATAAGCATCTAAATAAACTCAAACAAACAAAAAACAAAACGTTCATTCAAATAAATCACCGATACAGTAAACAAAATTAAATAAGTCTTATTTAACTTTCAGTAGTTGTTCCACTACTATTACCCGTTTCATATTGTCGTCGAAAACAATCACCAATAGGAAAAAAATCCCATTTACGACATTGATACATATCCCAAACATAACTTTCCTGTAGGGAAAAAAAGACAGTTTTCATATTGAATTTAATATTTATCAAAATAAACTAACTTGTCCAGTATGTTCTGTATCAGGTTTATTGAGAAGATGTGTTAAGAAGAACAAATAATTTGCAAAATTATGTTCTACTGTTGTGTGAGTCTAAATAAAAGAGTAATTAAAGCTGCTTATCGTATAGAATAATATCCTACTTCAAAACCATGTGGTTCCTTATCAAAATATTCTTGGCCAATCCCACAAATAAAACATTTTGACTAAATAAATAAAATAAATAAAATTGCAATATATGAAATCATCTTTATTTTACCTCAAGTGTTTCTTTTACTGAATCAAGTTGCTCACGAAGATCACCAAAAGCATCAATAATTAAACCTTGAATAATAGCAAGTAGAATAACGATAATGAAGAAGAAGAACGTAATATCAAATATAATTCGGTATAATTCCAGTGGGTCACCATTTGGTGATTCAAGTTCATCGCCAATACCACCACCAGCTCGAATACCAGAATATAGATGAAATTTAAAACACTGACAGAAATAGAACATATGTACAATATTGAAATATTCTTTATTAACTTACAGTAAACATGTCTTTACAATTTTCTTCCCGTTGTTCATCTTCTTCTTTTGTATAAAATTTACGAAAAAAATTAAATGCAATAACTGTATAAAGATAAACAACAACAGCCATTAACATAATTGTTAGAAGCAACTAAAAGATAAGAGAATATGTTTTTTTTTAATTCGATATCAATAAGAAAATTTGAATAGAAATATACCTGTCGACCGTTGTGCGTGATTGATTTTAATATTGTACTTAAAGCTTTAACGCTGATTGCGACATCAAGTAAATGTATTGCGAAAACAAAAAATGCATAATTTCCAATGACAGAGAATGAAAAATAGAAGAAGACGTAAAGAAATGACTGAAAAAAACAAAACAAAGAAATGTATAAAAATTCATATTGTTTCAAGTCACTCTATCGTTCAATGTTCAAGATCACTATTTAGAATGTTAATTTCTAATATTTTGCCCACAAGTAGGGGACGCGTAGATTACAAAAAAACCTAAAAGGATATGTACCCAAGTTGGTGTTTGATCGAGATATCAAGTATTTATCATACAGGACCCTATCTGTGCGATAAAATCAAAGTTTCGAATTTAGGCCTGAGACTTTGTCCACACTAAGACCTCAATCAGAAATTTCGGAAAGACTGTCTCTGATATACAAGTATGTTGGCATTAAGACGCTTTCTTATGGATATTAGATTTCACACGAATATTTTTAATGTGGACAATGTTTCAGGCCTAAATTCGAAGCTTTGATTTTACCTTGCAGATAGGGCCCTACAGGACAAATACAATAAATATTTGACATCTCAGTCAAACACTAACTTGGGGCACATCTCCTACTTGTGTCAAAAGCTTTTTAACACCTCGAGTGGTTCCCTCGGTAATTAGAATATGTCAAGAAATCTGGAAAAGAAAAATCCGGAAAAGAAATAAAACATGTTTGTGAACATGGAAATCTCATACCCGATATACGCTCAGCGAGATAGTATGACAACAGAGCAAAAAAAAGGGTGTGGGTATGGGTGTGAGATAGGAAGATCCACCCACGCCCTCGCTTGCTTGCAAGCCGTAGAAGTCATCTTTCGACAACAATCTCTCAAGCTTAAAGCGAGAGTACAACAGAAGAAAGCGCGGAAGACATTGGCCATGCAGAAACACATCGATAATTTAGGTAGTCGCTACTGCAACGGCGACATCGATCGCGCCGAACTTCTTATCAAACTGTCTCTCATATCTTCTATCACTATAACACTACGAATAAAATTTTCCTTGCTTTTTCACTCTTCAGATTTTTATTTTTCCGGATTTATTGACAACACCGTTAATTACTTACATTATCCGTAAAAATAATACCCCATTTCCAAATTTGATAACGCATATCAATTGATTTAATTCTATAATGAATATATGCATATATATTTACTCAATTCTATTTTTTTTCCATACTTTCCCCATAAACCAGTTTCTATTGTTTTAACAATTTCAAATTTTCCAGGTGTATCAGTTTTTTCCATACCCAAAAATCGATTTAATTCATTATAATCAAATTGATCGGAATATTTATTTCGAACTTTTTTCTTAACAAATTTATCCCAATAATAATTCGGAAATGATTTTGAACTTATAACAAGTTTATGCCATTCACGTGATAAATAAGATAATAACCAAGAATTATCTCCACTTGGTTGATCAATTAACCAAGCACCTTCAAATTCTAATTTTCTTGCAATTTCTTTTTCACGTTTAAATATAACTAATGGAACCTAAGAACAAAAGAATTATTCTTGTTTAAAACTAATCAAAAAATATTCATTTGCATACTTTTAATTTATAATAACTAATCATCATTAAAAATGCAATTGATGAATGTAAAAATGCACTAGTTTTTAACAGATATATCATATAATGTTTTGACGGATCAATCATTATTATTTCATTATCATCATTATCAAAATGTTCTACTACATCGGATGGTATAGCCTCACCAGCTGCTGTAGATGGTGTTGGTATTGCCTAAAATATTTCTATGAAATTCTAATAATTACCAAAGAAATGATTTTTACCTTATAGAATAACATAAGAAAATTGATGACAAAAGCAAGACAAAGTGCGATAAATTTTAATAGATGATAATTTCTTGCCACCAATGCCTAATAATAAATAAGTTAATGTTAAAATTTATCAACATCTCATAAAATATTTACCAGAGCTTTTTTTCCATAATCAGTTCGTACTCGTGTTTCTGAATGAATAATTTCCTCGTCTTCAACTATTGCTGAATTAATATTACTCGATGATCCTTTCTGGTGATATTCCGCTTGAATATTAACCTTTATAAGAAAAAAAGAAAACGGTGACATTTAAAATAAATAATATGTAATCTACTTCAAATGCATGTTTAGATTTTTCTATTAAATTTTGTGATAGATTTATTGTTGTATTTAAATGTGGTTGATGTGGTACAGAAGCTGTTATTGAATATTGATTTTGATTACGATAATGTACCGGTGTTAAATGTGCTGTTGTGATAACTGATGATGGTAAATTTTGTTGTTTAGATGAATCAATAGTATTAACAAATAAAGATTGTTGCTGAGAATCAAATATTCGTGTGTCATCAACATTAACCAAATTACCTTGTTGATTAATTAAAGACATCCTACAATATTTATATAAAATATAAAATTAAATGAATAATAGTATCGTTTAACCTATGATTTGATTTTGTATCATAACTATGATCAATTCCATGTGTATTAGCTGATGTTGAATCTTCACTAGTATTAAAACCATTATGCAGTATATTAACCGATGCTAAAAATAAATTAGAATTAGATTTAATACGAAAAAATATAAAAACTGTTAGCGCAATCCCTGACAGGATTAAAAATATGAAACACGATCTAACTGTGTTTCTACCTTAAAAAAGATAGTTTGATTGTATCAGTATGAAGCGCCTTTTATCTCATCCTGTGGCATAAAGGAATATAAATAATTTACATATGTTGGAGTCACTTGATTATCATTTTAACAGTTGATACAAAATTCAAGAGAAACATCGATTAATACCGAAAACTACTCACATATCTATCTTTCCTAAACAATGTGAGTTCAATAGTTTTATTTTATTCTGCAACTCAATGTCCATGTGTCGGTCACGTCTGTGGGGAGTGCAAGTTTCTGCCCTAAACACTTCAACACTCCTTTTAGTTCGTGTTTCACAAAACATACATAAACGATAATCACGACGTTTTGTTGGTGGAGTTAAATTAGTTCTTTCCATTGGTTTTCTTTCTTGTAGTTCATCTCCAGCCATTAAAGTGTAGATACAATATGTCAATGTTCTATATAGAAAATAATAAATATTCTTTGTTTTAATTCAATTCAAACCATCTTTATATACCTAAAGGTAAAAAACATGACCGTAAAAAACAAACGTGTAGATCTAATGAACAAGAATATAAGATTTTTAATCATCTCTTTAAATGCCATTTGTTGGAATTGTTGACAAGCATTATAAATTGTTGATGGATGAAATAAATGAAAGAGATATTTTATACCGGACCATGTATGTGTAAAGGTTGATTTAATAGGATCAGATATAGTGGGTTGCATGATATTAGATTCATTAATAGATAATGATGTCATTTCAGATGCTTGTTCGTCATCTTCACCACTAAGCGCAATTGCATGTTGCATCTAAATGAGAAATAAAGTTTTGTATTCTTTACAAAATTTACGATAATCTTACTTCAAAAATTGTATCTTCACAAAAATTAATGAATTTTTCTAATTTTTGTTTATCATCAGTTTCATTGACTGCTAAATGTAAAAATGCTTTTTTCGATTCCTGAAACAAAAAACGATCATATTATTTTATTCTTGAATAAATGAAAAACAAACTTTAATATGTGGGCTATTCCATTGTTCAATATTTGATTCAGTTATTTCGAAATAAACACGTTCAATATAGCCAGCACCACCTTTAATTTCAATTCTACCAAGAAATTCTTGAAAATAGGATAGAAAACTTTTTGCTTTATCCATTAAACGTTGTAAACGTAAATCATGTGGCATATGTTCAGATAAATTTATTAATAATACAGCCATATTAAAACCTATATCTTTCGCTGGATTATGAAAACGTTCAGTAAATTCCATAAAATCAATTTTTCCATCTTGATTTACATCAACACACATTAATATATAATCAATATCTTGACTAAAGATAAGAAAACAAAATCAAGAATTTATTTTATTTTTATTAAATAATTAATATTTATTACTTTGTAAACATTTTTTGTGCTTCCATAGCACGACGAAATTCTTTTGGAGAAATAAATCCATCTTTATTAGCATCAAATTCTTGAAATGCTTCCGATGTTGTTAAACCTTTCATTTTAAGAAATATATCAATAAATTGTAATAATAATTCAACATTTGACTGAGATTCAATCAATGTATCAACCATTTGTTTACCAACTAATATCAAACAAATATACATACATATCTTTTTATAACAGAAAACAACTTACTTGGACCATTAAGAACATTTCCTAGAAATAAATTAAAAAAAAAGATAAAATCAAGGAGAGAACAGCAGACTTCAAGATTTCAGAAGACTTCTAGAGACTAAGCCGGCATGGCTGAATGGTTATGTGGTTAGCATGTTACCATGAGGTACCGTGTTCAAACGTCAGTATCACCAGCTATGTAATGACCCTAGACAAGTCAACAGTGGCCATTTTGTCTCGGATCACTCGTCCGAAAATATTTTAACTACATGTTAGTCAGAATATATGGGGAGCTCAAGTAATTGAGCGAGAAGAACTCTGGATCGAAACTGTCCTTGGACAGCGGCCTATACCAAAAAAATGGTATGGTCGTTCTTTTTCTTCTTCTAGAGACTTCGCGAGACTTCAGGTATGAAGTCTCTGTTGTTTACCCGTTGGATAAAATATTTCAAAATTATTTCATTTTACCTTCAAGCATGGATAATAATAAAATAATCATATCTTTTTGCAATTTTATTAATTCACGTAATAATTCAATTTGTGATGGATCCTATTAAATCAAATAGAAGTTCGAAAAATGAATCAGTTAAATTTTACTTGTGATAATTTTCTTTGCATATGTGCAAAAATATAGAGAAATCCAGCTATAGCATCCCATAATCGACTGTTAGCCAATGCTAATTGATTTTGTGGACATGGACCCTAAATAACAAACAGTATTTATTTTATAAATTCTCTGTAAAATCAAACCTGAATATATTCTGTTAATGTATTAAAAACTTGTTTAGCAACATTAATAGCTCGACAAAAATTTTCTTTTCCATGTGCATCAACTGTTCCTTTGCCAGAATAATGCCAATAGAAATCCATTAATGATTCCTATATATTTAAATGATAAAATATTAATATAAAATTTTTCCTTTTAATTACTTGTAAACTCAGTAAATAATCAACAGTACAAATAATAATATTAACATTTGTATTACTTCCTGGTTGTGATCGAAGATAATTTTGAAATTCAAGATTATGTCCTTCACATAACAATTGACAAAAACGAAATAATGAAATTGTAAAATCAGCATCATGTAAATTTTTTTCTCCAGCCATTCCTTCTGAACCAACACCTAAATATAATCATATTCATATGTAATTATTACTCATATTACGCATTAACATACCAAGTACTTCTGCTTTAATACAACGTTCAAATGTATCAAGATCAAGTACACTACAATTAGCCATTAATGTTGCTAAGGATGTAAAACATCCAACATCTTTTGTTTCTTTTAAATAATCTAACATTCGCTAAAATGAAAAATGATAGATTAGTAAAGAAGAAATAACAAAGATTTTGATAATCTTGATATAGCAGATATATGAATTTCTATTGTTTTATTAATAGGTTTGTTAGCGAAACTACTATGGGCATTCGTCAATTAGCGCAAGTTCAAATGCGATGTGGTGTAAGTTAGGTGGATTTTTGCCAACTGTAATAGCACAAGATTAGTGTAAAATGCTTGTGACAAATTAACCTCATATCATCAGAATAAGCATATTATAGTCTAAACCGCTCAATATAGTTACTAGGAGCTATTTTTATACATCCGTAATCACATAATGTCACTGACGAATCTCCTATAAATATGTTGGCGAAATTCGAGGATCCCTTATTTTACATAAGGCTAAAGTATTAAAATAATTTATCAATGCTTCTAACTTCAATTCTCATTCTATCGTAATGCAAAATTTTACTTGAGGATCTTCTAGAGATAGCTCGAACTCCTTTTGATGTATGTATACTAATTAAGACACAGGAGTGAATAATATTATAGGTAGGTTTTCAATGGTGATAGAATATTTTAAATCTATAGAAATTCTTATTTACTTTTTGAACTTCTAGATTTCCACCATGTAATAATGATATACCAAGTTGTAATGTTCGTTGAAGCATTTCATTATTTTCACCTTAATTTTGAAAATTTATATTGGAAAATAATATTTAAAAAAATCCCTAATTATACCTTTGCTTGCACTTATATATAATAAGACTGTTTCAGCAGCACCTCGATTTGCTAAACGATTTTGTTCATAAAGTAATTTTTGTTTTTCCATTTCTTGTTCCTAAAAATATGAATATAACTATAGTTTATATCATTTTTTTAATTTTTACTTGAAATGATTTAATTTCTTCCACTCCATTATCATCATCATCTTCAGTAATAGCACAGCTCTTTAAATAAAATTCATATATATGAATTTTTAAATTTTCTTTATCTTACTTTACTCATTATTGCTGAATATGATAAATGAAGAGTATCTTCGTTAATCGATGAAACTTGAGCTGTAGTTGCAGAACGATTTAAACATAATAATAATTGTCTTAATGGATCTGGTTTAATTGTCATTGTTAATGTCAATGTTTCATTTTCTGTTTTAGTTTCTTCTTTAATTACTGTTATTTCTTGTTCATTAATTTCATGATTATCCTCCTTTAAAGTATATATAAATAAATAAAACCAAAAGGAAGAATTAAAATTAAATATTTTACACAAAGATTTTCAATTAAACGTGATCGTCTATCTTCCTCAGCTTCAAGCCACAATTCTCGATAAGCACGTAAAAACATATTCATTGCTCGATGTCGTATTACTGAATGTAATGGTGCCATACGAAAACAAGCCATTATAGCTTTTTTACGTTGAGTTGAAACAAGTTTTCGCCATGTACTACGACGATGTGCTGGTGGATGATCAACAAAATTTAAATTAAAAAGTACTTTAGCCATTTTTAACATATTTTTTATTGATGTTTCATGAGAATCAATGGATTCTGTATAATAAGATTTTGAACCAATCTTTCGATATAACGCACTCTGCCAATTATTTTTATTAATTACTTCACCCTATAGAATAATAATATAAATGAAAAACGAAGATGTGAGAAGAAATATGAAGTATACCTGTTCTTGAGCATGAAAAATATCTCGAAGAAATTCTTCTAAAGCTTCCTCTTCATCACTCTAAAATATAATGAATTATACAAAATAAAACTCGAATAACAACAAACCGTTAATTCCAAAAGCATTTGATCTTCTGTTGGATTTTCAATTTTTTCGAATTGATTAAGTTTCATCTATTAAATAAATGAAATATGCATATTTTAATATCATATCAAATTACGAATGATCAGAAATTGTTTCCTGTTTGTATTTTGTGAGTATGATACTTTATGAGTATTCTATTTGGAACTATTCTCGAAGGATAGACTTTTCACAAGCTAAACTATTGAAAATGAAGATCTAATCGTTTTAATGAATGAGAGAAAACGGCTAAAATTTGTTGTAATATGAAAGGTCTTATATTTGAAATTTACGGATGTCTGATACGTATCGGAGAGGATAGTAAGATATTTGGGTATGGGTGGATGCGGATGTGGGTATGGGTGGGGTGGATGTGGGTACGGGTACTGTATTCACTCAGCACCCATATTCACATCCGCAACCAACCCTCTCCCACACCCACTCTCGGCTCAGTATTTAATCGTATTAGAAGTAAGTAAACTATAAAATAAATCTGTTTTCAGAAATGTATAATTACGTCAATCATTTTATGTTTGGCTAATTGAATAAGTTCTTGTTCTCGTCCACCAAATGTATTTATTCCAATAGGTAATAAACGTTTAATACAAGCATTCGTTAATGATGTAAATTTTTCTTTATCAACTCGACGTTTTTTTCGTTTTTGTTTTCCACTAATATCATTTTGAGTTTTCATTCCTAATGTTTCTGTCGTCTGTTTTGTTCCACTTGGCATTAACATACTAGTATTATCTATATTATTTTGACTGACAAAATTAATTTCTTCACGTTTAAAAAACTAAAAAAAACAATACAAATTAGAATTCATCTTTTTTTTTCAATTTACTTTTGATTTACACCAAATAGAAAAGATTTCAGCCATATTATTAAATAATTGTTCAGCATGAATATCACTATTTTTAAGCCAATAGGATCGATGAATATCAACATATTTTATTAATAATGGTACAAATGCATAAACATCACGAACCAATATCTCATAATTCTAAAAGAAAACATATTGATTTGATTTGTATATATATATATATATTTACTTTAGCTAAATTCGATTCAAGATCTTCACGATCACATGATTCTAAACGATTTGCATGTTTCAATGATTGTTCTTGTGAATAAACATCTTCACATTTTATTTTTAAACCTTTTGATAACGGTAAAAAGTATGGTTCGAGAAGGTTCGTTGAAGAATTAAATATAATTGCATTAGTATACACTTTAAACAATAACAAATCTATCAAAAGTATGAATTTAAAAATAATATTTTACCAGCAATACGTTTCATCCATGGAGCTTCAATTGCATCAATATTATTATTAATTAATTTTAAAATACTACCCAATACCGAATTCATATGATATGCTGTAACATTTGTTACTTTTAGCCTATTACAAAAAAAATGAAAATAGATTTATACAGCAAAGAATGTCATACTCAGTTGGTTGTTTGACTTTTTGTGCTCCACCAATTGACCACCAATGTGATAAATAAGAACAAACACATGGAACAATAACTTCAACAACATAAGGTGCATCTTCATATTTTATTCTTGATTCAGCATGTTCCTCAATATCACCAATTACTTTTGTTAAATGAGAAATTGTATTCGAAATATTTATCATAATATCTATTAAAAAATCATAATTATACTATGATACTATTTTTTTGAATTATTATTATTACCATTAGCTTCTGGTGATAATTGTGCAATATTTGTTGCATGTTTATTATTCACACTGAATTCCGGTTCTAAAAATGCGACAGGAAAACATGAAGCAAATGAACTTAAACAATCGCCAAGTAATGGACGATAGCGATTTAATTCTTCAATAATCCATTGTCTAGAAATATTATTTCATTTATTTTAAATCAAGAAATTAAACAGTCAATAATTACCGATCCACAAATTGTGTTCCTTGTGTTCCAATGGTCCACAGAGAAATTAAAATTTTATAACCAGCTAATTGAATTTCATTTTCTAAGAAATAAATAACATTTTCGATACAAGAGAAAATAAAAAGTTGAAAAGTACGATCTCCTTTTCGATCTAATATATCGAGGATCGATGAGAGATTCAGCGGGGGAGGGGGGCAATAATGCGGTCGCTCCCTCCCCTCCCTCAGAAATATTTTTTGATACTTATAGCAAAAACAGGCTCGCACTACTTCGATTGGACTCAAAAATAGTTTTCAGCCGAAATCGCCGCTGTCGAGGATTATAACTCCGCGGGTACAAATAGTGGCGTAACCACCGGAAGAGCTACGGGGAGCTGAGCTCCCCCTTGAAACTTTTGAGCTCCCCTTAGGAAATTTTGAGATTCTCTCAAACTGTCAGACGTTCTTTTTTAGAAAATATGGGGCTGAACCCCCCCCCCCCCCCCCCCCCTAGGGCAAAATTCTGGTTACGCCACTACGTACAAAGTGTCCCATGCTCTCCCCCGCTCGATAAAACACTGATAGAGAAAGTTTAATTTATATTTCATACCGAATAAATCAACACCATAATTATTCTTTCCGAGATGATCAAACATTGAATAAAGTACAGGTAATAAAACCATATGTATATACGCTAAACTTGTTGTACCACGTTGTAAAGTTCCTTTAATATTACTAAAACGATTTAGTTTTAAATTCTGTAGAGTTTGATTAAGATCTTCTGCTATATTATTGAATAATGGTAATAATGAAGCACGAACCATTTCTTGACTATTTTTCATAACCGAACTAAAAAAACGAATCTATTGAATTTTTATCTATAAAAAATATGATTTTTATTCATACCTAACATCAATTGCTCGTACAAGTACTTTTAAACACCGAACAGTTATATTAACATCATTTCCAAATGCACTGAATTTTTGTCGAAGTAAAAATGTTAATTTACAAAATAAACTACAACACATTTCTTTTTCTTTAACAGATGCATAACCAATACCAGTTTTTAATGATGATGGTGTGATAAAATAATCTCGATGTGCTCGAAAATATTTTTCAATAAGTGGTAAAACAACCTAAAAATTTTATTTTCAAATGTTTTCTATCAAAAAAGAAAATTTTGTTTTACTTTTCCGAAAAACTTCACATCATTTGTTGTTAAACGATATGTTTCATGTAATGAAAATCTTGAACTTTCTTTATAATTTTGCATTGTTGATGAAGCACGTTCGACATATTCAAGTAGTTTTTCTAATAAACTATATGCAAAACGTTTTTCATTGATTAATGATGGTGTTGATGAAGCTATACGACGCGTTAGAGCACTATTTCCCGAATCTCTTTCGTATGCATTTCTAAAATGAAGTTTTTGTATTTAGAAAGGATAGAAAAAATATCTTTCTTTTACTTGACAACATGATAACCACATATATAAAGATATTTAATAAGATCTTGATAGAATTTTAGATCCTTTTGTTTTTCCGTATCAGTTAATAATTCGTAAGGAACGAGTCGAGGATGAAGACCACCACCTAAATAAGTAAGTATACTTCTTTTTTCATAGAATTAAAGTATAATTACCAATTGCAACAAGGCAAACTTTTAACTCTCTTGCCCACATTTCATGAGCATTTCGAGCTAAAGCCTCAGATAAGTCCTAAAGAAAATAAATAGTAGTTAATTTATTCAAGTATACAACTTTTTCTTACCTGCATCTCTCGATTCATTGTTACACTATTAAAATCCATTGCTTTTGGAACATAATCCGGTACGTTTTGATCCTTTGAAAAGAAAAATTTTAGTTCGTATTATATATGCAATGAACGTATACTTTTTGTTTTTTTCGTTGTGATGGTTTTGTAGCAATACGTGTTACACATGTATTCGTTTTTT